TTTTTATTATCCTTTCCATTTTTAGAGTATACAGATATAAAATACGTATATAAATGTACAATACATGTAATGAAAAATAACAGTAATACATAATAAATGATACTATATAAAACATAATAGTAATACTTATATACAACGTAAAAACATAATGCGTAAATTATAATGATAATAGTACATAATAGTAACAGGTATGTAGATTGTACGAGAATATTTAAAAAAACGTAAAAAGATATACACAAAGTAAGATATAAGATAATACATGTACGTCGTATGAAAATATAAAAAAATGTAAAAATATAATAGAAATATAAACGTTGATATGTACATATATTACAAAGATATCCGCCAATTTCCCCACGGTAACGTCTCCATTGAATTCGGTACGATGTATCATTTGTCATCGTATGGATACTCAAAGCGATTTTCGATTCGGATATCGTGTATACCTCGTGCAGTTTAGATCGTATACACGATTGACGACGAGTCATTTCGATCTCTTCGTTCAAACATCGAGTGTAATCGTCGAACGTTATTTGCGTTATTTGCGCTACGACGTTACTCTTTACGCCTTTCACCTTTTTAGTGTCCTTCTTGCCCTCCACCCTCACAGCGTACATCTTCGCTCTGAGACCAACGAATTCGGTCATTATCGCACCGTTATTTTCGTCCTTCATTAGACTGGGTCTGATCTTTTTTTGTTCGCGAGAGGCATACCGTACGCGTTATCCATCGGATAATCGCTCGTGTCGAATCTAGCGATGTCGCGTTTCATAGTCTCGTAAACGTCCTCGCACTCGACGCGGTATACGAGTATAAGGCTGTCTGTATCGGTGTACATTATTTTACATTTGTCGCGAAACAATGGTAACATATACTCGTGGTGAAATTCGTACAAGCAGACTTTCGATATGTCGAGTATACACATACCCACGTAAATCGGTTTGTCGAACTTCATCTCGAGATTGCGCAGTTCGACGGCTATTAAATTTTAGCAAAGACGCTACGGCTGTGGAAATTTGGTTTTGCAATCATTGCCTCCGCACCGTACCGTCCATCCCATTTTGTTAATAATTTTACGTTAACGTGGTTGCGCACATTCTCCATAGTTTTACCGAATACTGCGTTGTTCATTAATTCATACAAATTTTTTTCGCGCGCGTTCTGAAATTTGTATTAAGTTCGATGTAATCGAGGAGATTGTGCGAATTGTAGCACCCGATGGATCTTTGTTACGCGAAGACCGTGACGAGTACATTGCTGCAGGTTGCGGTAGTGAATGACGTAGCGCTGTTTATCGTGCAGCGTCGCTAAAAGTTTATGTTCGCGCTTGCCGGGCGGTTTATCGCGCGTCGGACAGAACGGTAGGTCAGTGTGTCGGTCGTGTATATGCTGCGGATACTCGAGATCGACTTCGAGAATGTAACCGGTGAGCGAATCCAGAGCGATCGCGCTCGCGTCAAAATTCGCAGTGTCTTTGACCCATTGAAATTTGGCGTATGGAAATGGTTGACACATCGCCCACCCGTATAAATTGTTAACGTCGTAGTACATCAAACGACGACGGTTCCGACGGGTCGTACGAATGCATACTTGTTATTAGCCTGCGCATATCTGCTTGAACATTGACTGAGACCACCGCGTATACCACGCTCGATGAATATGATCATGTCAATATCAATGAGCAACTCAAATTTTACACACGCATGTTTTAACATCGCGTCCCACGTGAAACCAGGCAAGGTGTAATAATGTGCGGGATTGAGACCGTAACTCGCGACGCAACTTTCGCGGAAATTTTCGAAAATGTCACCTAAGAACAAGACATCGGTTTTCAAGTACAGATCACTGTACTCGCCGAGCGTTCTGATGGAGAATCGCTGCCATACATTCGCCGCGTGAGCGTAATCGCTCTCGAATACGGTATCGCCCGTTAACAAACTGTAAAAAGATTCGCATGATGGTAAGCGCGTGTGCTGCAATTTTTCGGCACAGTCAACGTACTCGTACAGAAAGACACCTTGACGAGTCAGTAATTCAAATTCATCATCCGATAGTGCTGAAAATTTTGAACGTATAATTTTTTATTTGTCTTTATCGAGATACGACGCTAATTTATCGAGACTACTGAGAAATTTGAAAGAATCAATAAAACGTAATTTTACACAATTTCTTTGAGAATTATTTTCAGTTTTATCTTTAGTGCTATCGACATGTTTTGTGAAGGAGATGTATTTTTCTTTAGTTATCGGTAATACATCTACGTGTCCTTCATATGCTGTAGCGATTTCCTTAATTATAAAATGCGCGTCGTAGCCCGATAAATTGTGAAAAACGATCGGAATATATAATGAATTTTTATAATTTAAGTTACAATTCGAATGCGCTGGACCGCGGTATCTACCGGTTAAGTGGCAATGATCGCTTACCCGCGTGTCGTCCGACGCAAACGGTTTCTCGCAAATATGACAACGCGTCGCGCTACGGTACGCCTCCTGTGTTCTTTCGACAACGTTTCCATGGGCACGTTGGCGGATACGATATTTTTCACGCGATGCGCCAAATCGTTGAGTTGTCGCGCGAACTACGCTATACAATCTTTGTCGCGACGGAACTGACACGAAGATAACGCGTCATCGTACGAGCAACGCACGTAGTAGCCTATGCTGAATACCTCATGCCGTTGATATGCGTACGACGACGCATCTTCCTTGTCGGGTTCCGTCTTCCGTAAAACTCATTCCAAGTCGACGTAGACGACGAATGGGACGCGCTCCTTGTTGCAGTTGTTCCTAAATTCGAGCCACTTTTCGTCCTCGCTCGGCAGTCGAATAGCGCAATCGTTGATCTTCTGGCAGTCCATTGTGTGCGACTGCAATTTCTCATTCGTGCTGAAGTAATGCAAGCATCTGAAAAAAACAAAAATTATAACAGTTACCTATATTTTATTAATAAGATGGGAGAAATTATAATAATTTTTTCATGTGTACTTACCGGTCGCAGAAATATTTCTTGTGCTCTTTTTTGCTTAATTGCCAGCTCACGAGACGCGACAGGTTCTTGATCTACGCAAAGTGGCCGATACCGTCGTCGCGTGGATCTTGCATGTACAGGAGATTGACATGCTTGTCCTTCCTATCACTGGTGAGCTGCAGAGGAAGGATTTGTTTATTCTCGATACCGTATACATTGATCGACACCGCATTCAACCGTTCGAATTTCGGAATGTCTTTGATCGTTATCGGAAATTCAATACCCGCGAGATTCAGCACCGTCGTATAATGCGGATACGATGACTCTCGCTCCGCATGCTTTTCAGCCGGGTACAGAGCGGCGATCACCGACCACGCGAAACACGCATTGTCCATCGTACTAACATTGATCACCGCGTGTTTCGTCGCTATTTCCCGCGGCACTTCGAAGTAACATCCCGCGCGCATGGGATTTAGTTTGTTCACATTTATTACCAAATTGAGGATTCGCGACAATGCCCACCGGTTGTCACGTTCCTGGAACTCTTCGAGTGATGTCAACGTGGGCTCGATGATATGCTGCTCGTACCACTCGCGCAAATCGGTATATCTTTTTGTTCTTTGAAATTATGCTCTTATTAGCACGTTTATCCTTCGTCGCAAACTCACCGTTGAACGCGGTGTTCACTTTTGCACTACCGTGTCTTTCTACGGCGTCTCGCACACGTTCGAGCACTATTTCTCTCGCGTCTTCCAAAAACCGCCGCGGCTCGATGTAATCGACGTTGACCACAGCAACCATCGATATACGGCTTTCAAACGCGGCATCGATCTCTCGCCAGACGAGAGATCTTTCGTCGCGACTAATGTATCCACCACCAACGTGCACGAAACGTCGCTCTAATTGTGTCTTTGCACCCGCGAGTCGCGCGATCCTCTCCACCATGGATTGTCTGTGTCCAACGGCGATGCGCTTGGTACGACAAAATTCTTCGAGCCGCTCGATGCACTCGTCGCATCGTTGCAGCCACGCGAAACATTCCACCAGAGTAGCGACATGGCTGCACTGCTCCAACAGTTCGCGTTCCACTTGCTCGTAATTTTCCATGTTTTTTTTCCACTATTTTTATTGCTACCGATTCGTTCGTCTTCCAGGGCACCAACTGTGGAACTGAGCTCTTATAACTCATTATATATTTCATTTGTGACTTCTTTGTCCCTTTGCCTATTGGGTCATACTTTATTTAGAAGTAGATAAGGCAGGATTGCGAGCGATTCTAGTTTATATAAACAGCATCAACGCTTCTTTTAACGCGTCGCTACATGTCGCTACATCGATCTCTCTTCTCAGAAAAAAATCATTATCGACACTTCTTCGAAGAAATTTAAGGGTTGTGGGAACGCAGTGTGATTTCATACTTTTCACTGGAGTATTACTTTCATTTTACTGTAGAAGAGTTATGTTTTGCTTGCAGCCGAACATCGGCGCTTCTCTTAACGCGTCGCGATGTATCATCGATCTGATAGTACATGGTCCGGCAAAATGATCTCCCACATTTTAATCTTTAATAAAAACGCCATTGTAAATGCTATTTAGATTTTATTTTTATTAACTGAAAATGTATGCTATGCCATTTGTTTTTATTGAGTTTTGAAAATTACAGAGTCCAAGTGGCGACCATTTTTTTCGATACACATTCGAAGCTGATTTCTAAAAGTTTCCATCACTCGAGCAGTAATTTGAGGCGATATTCCTGTAATTTCTTGGCGTATTGCTGCATTCAATTCGTCAATGGTTCGGGGGTGGTGTTGAAAAACCTTCGCTTTCAGGTAGCCCCAAAGGAAAAAATCGTATGGGGCAAGATCGGGTGAACGCGCAGGCCACCCAACGTTCTTTGCGTCGTAATTACAGATTCGTTACTTTTCATAAATGTTTCGATAACGAAGGCACAATGCTCGCCCGTCCAATTCATGACAACTGAAATGGCAAGGCGCGAGCTACCAACCGACTATGCTAAGCTCCCCCTCTCTTCAGTGGTTCGGGCACAGTGGCGGTGGAAAATCATTTTGCCGGACCCTGTATATATAAATAGTGTGTATAATTTTTTTTCTTTTAATCGTAAATTTCGAGTAAATTACGAGTGATAAGACATGGATCGTGTAAAACAATATATACATCGAAAATCGATCGAGCGCAAGGGATACCGTCCCTTGTCACCAGGTCCGCTAAGTCCACCACCATCGAGAGAAAAAGCGCGATATTGGGAATGTCCAGGTGAAAAAGCATCAAAATCGCCAACATGTTCCTCATCGACATGGTCAAAATCGCAAACATATTCATCATCATCATCATCATCATCATCATCATCAAAGTATAAGCCATAGCTAGCGATGTTCGAGCCGTCGATTGCATTCGAACGCTGTCGATAGCGAAAAAAATGTAATAAAATATGAGAAAAAACACGATGTAATAAGATGCGAATAAAAAATTTTCATCCACATCATTTTATATATGTACTTTATTTCTTTAGTCTCCATCCATCCATCCATCCATCCTATGCCTCGACGCGCTTATAAAAAACCGTATTGAAAAAAAATGCGTCATGAAAAAGAGGATTCATTTCTTCTATCCTTTCTTCACTCATATCACGTTATGCGCTCCATCGTCGTGCACGCTCTATCGCTTACAAAGCATACTACGTTATAATATCGGTCATGTTATTAATCTGGCACATGCCAGATAATAATTGTGTCATGTAAAGCGTCGTGCACGCTCTATCTTTCTCTAACGTGTGAACCCTTGTTATCTACGCATTTTGGGGTGGACGCGGGGCCCGCAGCAGCGGCGGTGGCTGCGGTGGTGGTTGAGGCGGCGGCGGCGGCGGCGGCGGCGGATGAATAAAAATAAGAAACGCATTGTTTATGTGGGTCCTATTACAACGATGCCGCCGGGACTTCCCGCGCCTTTCCCCACTACCGCGGGACTTCCCGCACCTTTCCCCTCTACCGCGCCTTCCTCCGCCCGCGCCTACGAGTACCTTCCGCGCCCCGCGCTCCCCTCTAGCCCCATGGGTTAGAACCGGCCTAGTATACCTACTATTACGGTTGTTAATTTATTTAAGTTTACTTTTTTTATAAGAGATCTTTTTCTTTTTTCTTTTTTATCAACTTGCCTAAGAGATATGACACATTTTTGACTGTACAATCGTATGAATAATGTCAAGTTCTACATCGAGACTCAACCGAACTGTGTGTATCCTTAATTTGTGAACATTTGCGATAATTATTTTTTAATTCTGATTCCATTATGTTTTAACGTCTGAAGAGGGCTTAATCCGAGCCGAAACTTGTAATGTTTATTTTTTCATTGTTATTATTTTTTAGTATACGAGTACATCTTTTCTTTTTTTTTTTATCTTTTCTGTACTTTTAATTTATGCCTTTAATTATATGACTTTTTAAAGAAATGCGCTGACTCTTACTTCGCCCTTCATTTATTGTTATTTATCTTATTACGTATAACATTGTTTTTGTTTTTTTATATTATTATATTTTTTTATAAGCTTTTGTAAGTTTAATTTTATTGAATTTTTTATTGTTTAAAATTTATACAATAATGAGAACGCCTAGAATTTTTGGAGTAAAAAAATATATGCACCTTAATTTTGTGCACCAAGAACATTTAAAAATCGTCATGACAGAAGTCACAAATAGTATCACTATTTTTAAAACAAGTGCCTCATATAAGGTGTAGTAAAAAGAAATCTATTATTTTTGCATTAAATTGAAGGCTTTATTTAGCATAGTTAGAATGATCCGATTTAGGTCAAATATGCACCGTTTTGTTCGATAACTTGTTGCCATTTTGAAGGTAATTTCATTATGCCTCTCTCATAGAAACCCTCGTCCCTATTGGCAAAAAACTGGGACAGTCGATTTTCACAAGCTTCTCTTGAGGCGAATTTTTCACCAGCAAAATCATTCGCCATAGACAGGAACAGGTGGTAATCACTTGGTGCCAGGTCCGGACTATAAGGTGGATGCATAAGAACCTCCCAACCAAGCTTCCGGAGCTTCTGGCGAGTCATAATCGATGTGTGTGGCCTGGCATTGTCTTGATGGAACACAATTCCTCTCCTATTGGCCAAAGCTGGTCGCTTCTGGGCGATTGCTTCTTTCAGACGGTCCAATTGTTGACAGTACAGGTCCGAATTAAGAGTTTGGCCGTAGGGGAGCAGCTCATAGTAGATGATTCCCTGCCAATCCCACCAAACACACAGCAAAACCCTCCTGATCGTCAATCCTGGCTTGGCCACCATTTGCGCCGGCTCATCGCGATTCGACCACGACCGTTTTTGCTTGACGTTGTCGTAAGTGACCCACTTTTCATCACCAGTACCAACCATTCGCTTCAGAAATGGGTCGATTTTGTTGCAATTCAGCAGCAATTCACAGATGGAAAGCTTCTTTTTGTATCCAGCCTTATTTAAATGGTTCCAAACGGTTTTTTGTGCAATGTTTAGCTCCTGGGCAATCGAAACAGTGCTTACATGACGGTCGGACTCGACGATTTCCATTATTTTATCGACATTTTCGACAATTGGCCTTCCAGAGCGTGGTGCATCTTTGACATCAAAATTACCGGAACGGAATCGACGAAACCAAAATTGCGCGATATTGACTGTTACAGTATCAGGACCATAAACACTATTCACATTTTCAGCCGCCTGGCTTGCGTTTTCGCCTTTATCGAAGAAAAACTGTAAAATATGGCGTATTTTCTCTTTGTTGGTGTCCATCTTTGACACGCGCTCAAACAATACTGACTCAAGCAATCACAAAACTGTCTGAGAAGTTTTTTTAGTATGAAATCTTATCTTTCTAACGCCATTTGGCTAACCCGATCGCACTTATACAACGCGAGATACAGATTACTAAAGCCGTCTATTAGAAAAATAATAGATTTCTTTTTACTACACCTTATATTTAGAAGGTTTATCTTCAATGCAATTACTCTCATACATTCATATCTAAAAAGATTTACGAATCTAGGAGATAAAAACTG